TAATAAAATAATTAAATAATTTACTTAACAATTTACCCAAGCAAAAAAGAGAAATTACTCTTTAAAAGAAGTAAGTTATGATTTAATTATTATAAAATGTTTGTTATAATTATTTAATTTGAAGAAAAAATGAAAGAACCTAATTGTGCTATTAATTTTGAAAATTTTCTCAAATTTACATTTTTAGATAAATTTACCAAAGTTTCTTGCATTCATATATTATTATGAGTTGTGCAAATATAGCTATATTAATAGAGAGAGAAAGAAAGAGAGAAAAGAAAATGTTCTCATTTCAAAATTCAAATTTTAGATAGCAATCTGTGTGCTTGATAAATTTGAAAATTTTTAAACAAAATATTAGCTTTGAAATTGCCTATTCTAATTTTGATTTCTTAATTTTTGATTTAAAAAATTTTATGACCATTCATTTTTCTTAATTAGCATAAAAGAAGAGCAAAAGTAATAATAAAAAATTATAATATTCGATGGGCAATTTTCTTCTTGGAAATTATCATTAAAAAATGATTGGAAAAAAATTTTTTTCATATATTTGTTTTAAAAAATTATTAAAATTTGCATTTCAAAATTATAAATTAAATTTTTGTCCAATTTCAGTGCTATTTTTTTGCAAAAAATACTTGATAGTTCAGAAAAAAAAAAAGGAAAAAATTTTAATTTGAAATGAAAACTTTGATTTAGAAAAAAAAAAGGAGGAGCAATAATATGTAATTGCTTTTATTCCTATTTGCATTTTATTTCCATTTTAAAAACTTTCAAACTTTGCTCATTCATTTTTCACAACAATAAAAGTGACCGAAAAATTTTCAAAAAGTTGTAAAATTAAACTTTTAAAATTCAAACTTTGTTCTTTTCAGCTTTAAATATAATTTATTACAATGTATAGTTATATTCATAAAGGGAGGGTTTTTTTTTTTTTTGTTCAAGTAAACAAGCAGTTGTTTCTAGAAGTTTTTCTGCCTGTTTTCTTCTTTTTTTCGTTTTAAAAATTTCATATACTCACATTTTTTTTTTTGTTATTTACTTATCTTATACTTATTTACAGTTTATTTATCTTATTTTAACTGTTAAATGTTAACTTATTTATATATTTATCAATTTAAAAAAAAAAAAAAAAATTTAGATAATGTTAGTCAAAAGTTTTGCTTAATAGAATAAAATCAAATGTATGATAATTCATATGAAATTTAATTAAGCCTAAATTAATTAATCTAATCTATTGATACACTGCTGATATGAGTGAGATAGAATAAGTTATCCATTTTATTAATATAGCTTTTCAAATGCTTATTTTATGTGATATTTTAAGTGAATTAGCCAAATAATAATAATAATAATAACAGTAATAATAATAATAGTAATATTAATAATAATGATAATAATGATAACAATAGTAATGATAATAATAACAATAGACTATTGGTAACAGTAATAATATAAAGTAATAATCATTATTAAATAACCCTCATCACTCTACTCTTCATCTCTCCATTTAATCTCTCTCTCTCTTTTTTTTTCTTTCTCTTTCTCCTTCTTTTTCCTCAATTTTTATTATCACCCATAAAGATAAGTAATGAAAGATTAATTTTTTAAGGGAATTATTTCTTTTACAAAGTATAAATCCTACTTCAATTTTAATGGACTAATATTTCCTTTAATTTAGTACTAAAATAATTTTGTATTTAAAAATTTTTATTTGCAGTATATAAAAATAAATAGTAAACAATGTAATGTTTGAAAATTAACAATTTCCAAATCAAAATATTAGTTATTTCTTTGGTCACTTAAGTACTGCTATTTAATTTCATTAGCACAGAATTTAACAAATTTATTATCAATTTCTATAATTTTCTCATTCATTATAATTCAGTAATGATAATAAAGAAAATTTTTACATTTTTAAAATATAACTTTTATAAACTGATGCGATAAAAAATAAATATTCATAATTAATTCATGCAAAATTATACACACTTTACCAAAATGAAAAAAAATAAGTTTGAAAATTTTACTTTAGAACAAAATTAAAACAGCGAACTTAATAAAAGTTGTAATTAGTAACAGTTTTCACTTTATTTCTAAACTTTGAAATTAATTCTAATCGCATATTTTGATAAATTAATTAGATTGTTATGAAAATCGAACAGAATAAAATTCGTCAAAATTTAAACATTGCATCTTATTTACAAACATATATACTAATAAATTAATTTCAAATTATTCCGACCATTTCAATTCTAATTGATTGTCTCAATTATTTAGTTACAATCATCTTAATTTACTCTAATTAATCATCATAAAATTTATCCTAATTAATTAAATCATCTATTCATTAACCATACTTTGAAATAATCAGTTAATCGATTAAATCAGTTAAACAATCACATCTATTTGATCATTTAAAAAAATAAACAAATAAACAATTTCTCAAACAGAATTCAATAATTTTGTAACATTTTTGCTTAAAAAGTAAAAAAGAAAAAGTATTTCTATTTCTAATCTCTCTCGGGAAATTATTGGTTAAGCAATTTATTGCTTTAAAATTTACAAGCATGAATAAGAAGAATGAATTGAAAATTGGATGAAAAAAAAAAAATTTCTAACAAAAATGCTTTAAATTTTTTTTTTTCTCCAAAAACTTTTATCTCCAAGTATATTTTCTTCAATCATAAAAATTTTTTCTTCAATAATAATAGAAAAAAAAAAAGGAAGAAAAAAGAAAGAATTTTTAAATAGTCACAAGTTGGTTATTTTCTTTTTAACTGCTACATCAGTATAACATTTTTGAAATTTTTTCAAATTTATCATTTTGACAAATTTTTTGAAATAAAAAAAACTCTTTTTTAAGACTTATATGTCTATGTTATCTAATATTTTGCTATTTTATTTAAGAATTATTATAGCAATTATTGTCTCCTTTTTTTTTTAAAAAATTGTTTTCATTAATTTTGAACAATTACTTTACTTTACTTACAAATTATTGCAGTAATTAATTTTTTTTTTAATATTGTTGTCAATTTTGTAATGTATTTATATTTGATAATAAATTTTTTTCTATTTTATAATTTCAGAAAGCGATATGGAAGTGATTAAACATTATGAACAAATATCAATTCGACCTAATTTGAGCTCTGTATCATTTTGCATAAATCATCTTTCCATACTATTTTTTTTTTTTATTTTTATAGCTAATATCAACCTTTAATACCTGTATAAAGTTTTTTTTTAATCTTTTTAAATTTATACCAAAAAAAAGAAGAAGCATATCATATAATAATTTTATTAATAATTAAATATCCTCTAATATTTTTTTCTCAAGCAGAAGCAGAAATTAAATTATTAAATAAAATACAGGTAAATGATGTAGAAAATATATTAGTAGAATAAAATATATGATTATTAATATTGTTTAATAAAGTAAATAAATAAATATTAATGAAAACATAAATATTTGTATTTAATCAATTTCTATTTTATAATTTTACTCAATTTAAAAATTTACATACGAAATTATTTTTGATATGAAGAAAATACGAAATATTTTAAAATAATACTTTTTCTTCTTAACGTTTAAATTTATCTAAAAATTAGTAATAAAAATTTCATAAAAAGAAAGAAAAAAAGAGAATGAATGGATGAATTTCAGATTTTACCAGGACAACATTTTACAGCTAGTGAATTACGAGCTCTTTATAGAGCATTTAAGGATACGTTACCTATTTGTCGAGATTCATTCCGTGATATATATGCTAATATTTTTCCTCACGGTGATGCTGAACAATTTGCTGATTTGATATTTGATAGTATCGTACGTCAACAAGCCGAATGTGTTACGTTTACGGTAATTTATTTTTGCGTCAACATGCTGGATGATTTTAGACTTACTTATTTATTGTTAACTTGTGTAATATTTCATTTTACTATGCAAATACTTTTTTGATGATTTACATTTTTAATTGTAATTGCAGGACTTCGTTGGTGTATGCTCAACTTTGCTCAGGGGAACAGTAGAAGAAAAATTAAATTGGATCTACAAATTATATGATCCGAGAAATACCGGTAAAATTGGATGGGAACGAATTTTTAGGATTATCACCGCTATTGATGACTTAATTGGTTAGAGTTTGAGAAAAAAGAAAAATTTCTTTTTAATGAGAAAACATAGATTTGCAAAGGATTGATAATATTTTGCTTTCATATGATATAACATAACTGTAGCAGTTTATTTTTAGCAATTAGAAAATATTCAAAATTAAATTATACAATGTCAATAATATCAAAAGGAAAAATACAATTTAGGAACCAAAGCAATTCCAATAGTATCACCGGAACAGCGAGTAGAACAAGCTAGACAAATTATACAGGTAGACATGCACTGCTACATATTTATCGTAATTTATTTTAAATTCCGTAAAATATCTTTAAAAAAAGATTTAACTTTTGCTTCAATAATATTGAACAACAGAAATAGAGTTGACCATCCTGTTACACTGCTGAAAATTAGCTTTCGATTTAGCTTAGATCAAGAAGAGATTCTAAAAAAAAAAAATATTCAAATTCTCTGATTCTTTAATTTTTTCAGAAGTTTGATCACGAAAATAAGGGTTGGATATCACGGGAAGATTTTATGATAGTGTGCAGCCAAGATGAACGTATTCTCCAGTCAATTTCAACACTCTGCTCATCAATTATGATAAAATAGCAGATAGTATGCCAGGAAAATAAAAATGAAATAATAAAATGTTTACAAGAATCATACTGACAATCAACATTTAGAAAAAAAAATGGATAAAAACAAAGAAATTAAGAAACTTTAGCATTCAAGCAAATTATAGGTTTAGCCAAGCTTTTAGACTACATAATAACAGAATAATTGCGTTTCGTCCTGCTTATGAATATCAAATAATTTACAAATAACGTAATTATAGAAAAGTGAGAAACAAAATGTGACTCAAATTTATGGTTCAAAATAATACCATAATCTACGTGTTGCCTTTTCTGCTGTCCTTCAGAACCGTAAACAACTTTTTTGCAGTTGATGCTGTTGTACTTTCAACGTCTTTTGTCAGCTATAAATATCAATATTATCTGCAGTATATTCGTTTCATAAAAGCTGAACAATTTATTCAGGTCAGCATAAAATAAGTTCAAACAAATTGATGGTATGTTGTCATCTATATCAATTTTCCACCGTTTTAGTCTTTTGCTAATAAATGGTCAGCTTAATTCAGTCAAACATGCTATATCATAAGAATAAATATATAATAAGTAATAAAAAAAATGAACATAAAAAATTTAAAAAAATCTATATTTACCATTTCACGAAATCGAGCTCTTGCTTCTGCGATATTCTCTTGAGGTATTAAAGAATATTTGAATCTAAAAAAGAACTTATAAGATATGAGATATAAAAGTAAAAGAGATAAAAAAAAAAAAAAAATAATCAGCCCAAATCTCAGAACATCTTTCTATCAAAAGAAACATAATAGCTCATACTTTTCCTGCTCATTTCTTAATTCTTTTTCCTTATTCTTGATCTCCTGCAAAAGAGCAAATCGTTCCTCCGATATCACCGTGCTCAAATTAAGAACACTGGTAGAACTTACATCCTGAAAGGAAGACGGCAAGATATATTACAAGTTACTGAAACCCTCAAAAGATTAAAAAAAGTAAGGATTCTAGAGAAACTATAAAACTAAACCTGCTAAATTTAATTTCCGTTTATCTGTCTAAATTAATTCTCTTTCACAGATAAACTAACAAGGAAATGTAATATTACAATATACCTGTTTTTTGTTTTCTTCATCCACTACTAGTTCAAACGATTCAGCTTCCGAGATGCTAGCATTGAGTGTACTAATTTCGTCCTGATATAAAAAAATTACAAAACTAGTTTTTTTTTAAGTTTTTGGATCACAAAAAAATAAAATAGAAAGAAAAAATCCCAGTAATGTACTAACCCAATCAGCAGTAGATAATGACTTGTCAGCGTCGTAGTTTCCGAATTTCTGCAAAAACTCATCAAAACATAAAGTGCAATCACAAATGGACAGAGCCATAAAATCAATAAGATAATTTCATACTATTATTGAGATTCGGTCATACTTTTACAAAGATGATTCACATCTAAAATGATTTTCTAAAACTTTGAATTAAATTTTGAAATACAAGAAACTAAATGAAATATACCGCTGTATATTCGCGCTTTAGTGTTGTAAGTTCTGCCATGATCTTCAATTTTTTGTCGGGCAAAATTGCAAAAAGTCGTCCAGCGCTACAAAAAAATTATTGATTACGCTCACTAGTTGTAAAAAACTGTTAATACTACAATATACTCACCTGTTCTCGAAATTTTCATCACACAGCAAGGGTTTAAAGTCAACAAAAGTTTCCCCATCGACCCACTGCCCTGAAAAAATTCAATTTACTAAAAAATTGCCTAACAAAAAAATTTAACATTAAAAAACCAGGTACAAATGATTCATTTTAAAAGTAAGCAAACAACTAGAAACAGTTATTCTAAAAAATCAAAAATTAATATCCCTTTTGAGTAATTTCTGTTCTGTTTTTTGTAAGAGTTAGAAAAAATTATTAATTATGAATTAAATTATTAAATTATTAATCAAAATTATTAATTAAAAAATTATAAAGAAAAAATTATAAATCTGTTCGTTCAGAAGCTGCTAATACTACTGCATACCCACCGTTGGAAGATGACTACTATCTTCTGTTCTAATTGATTTTACTTTATCTTCGTCAGATCACATTTCTACTGTAAGCAGTTAACCATTATCAGTACCTCTGGAAACTATGCGTTAGCAATATTTTTTTAGAAAAACCGAACTTAAACTTACTTACACTTTTACATGAGGATGTGTTTCACTTATTAATCAAAACTTACAAATTTTCTGGACGAAATATCGTGTAGCATCGAAGCATTCAGAATCAGTAAAAAGAATAATATTATCATCATGACGCACAAAGGAGAACAAATTCGTTGGTTCATTAGTATACAATAAGGACTGGTCACTAGTAATGTCTCGTGATGTTCCCTCTTTCCTACAAGCCCGTGTAAATTAATTGAAACGTTATGAAAATTACAGAAGAATATTTTGCACTAGGTTTTAACTCACGTAAATATGAAATTTTGAGCGAAAGCAGCTTCGATAAACAGATTTTCCTTATCAACCACTGATTGCTTTTGTGTTTCTATCGCTGAAGTTTGTATTATATCTGGGAATTCAGAAATAATATTGATAATTGCCGTAGAAATTTCACCTTTAGGATATTTATTCTGAAATTTGATCGTTTCATCATATCAGATCGAATATAAAATAGTGTAGCATTAAATAGTCTTAAATGAAGATAACATATTCCAGACAAGAGTACTGTAAAAGTTCGCATTTAGCGCTACACTAATAACCTCAATATTGACAACGTTAACTTTGTTGGCGATAACTCTGCGTAATAACTAAATTAGTTATTAAAAAAAACAAACCAATTGAATAAAATCATCTTTCAAAACGATCTTACTACAATATTTGAATACGGATTGAATATCACCAGCTCCAAGCCAACCATACACTTCACTAAAAATATGCCCATTATTTAATTTGAGTAATTTAAATAATATATATACATATATATATATATATATATCTGTAGCTCCATTTTATTATTACTAATTTCTTATCGCGTAGAAAACTTCTGCGCATTCATTTCAAAAGGTTTTCCAAAAGGTTAAATAGATCGGCTATTAAACATAAATATGTATAAATTTTTGTAAGAAAGTAATCTACAAAAGTATATCTAAGAAATTTACTAAAAACATATTCAACAATTAATTTAAAGAATTTATGAACTATATTACAAAAAAATTCGGCATCTAGTATTTAGTTCCTAATGTTTCTAATTCATATCACCTACGCTTTTTTCATCATGTTAGCTTTGTTCACTCGTTTAACATTTGCATGAGCTCCAATTATTGATAACAATTCAGAAACATTCTCTGAAAAAGATGTATACATTTATGATTGAACAAAAGGAAGGAAGGAAGAACAGTAGAAATGAATTTTGGATTAAATTTATTTTATGTTTCACAATTTCATAATATCTGATTACTAAAACATCATTTTGATCTTAGCAATAATTTCTAGCTATGATGATCCTAAGTAAAATAATAACAATAATAATAATAATAAAGATTGAAAATTTTGCGTCGTGATGGATTGATCGGTTGAAATCGCGGAATAATCGTTGTGACAGCATCATGTTTAGTCTTTGAAATTCGTTTCGTCCCTCTTCTCTTCTTTGGCATTTTCTTAAAATATCACTTTAAATAAACTTTAAATAAATAATCAAATTAAATAAAATTTATTTAATGAACTAATTTAATCAAATTAATTAATTACTAAATTAATTAAATTAAACCTAACTTAGAAACTTTCTATCCAAATTTATATGTTCGCGCCGAACTTAACAATCTCACGGGCCAAATATGCAAATTTATATCCCAGCTAAACATTTTGGTAATATTTATAAATGAAAAATAAGAATGATGAAAAAATGCGAATAATTATTCAAAAAAAAAAAAAGAAAAATTGGTTGTCAAGTTTATATCCAAGAAGAAAATGTATGATCAAAAAAACAAAAGATTTTCTTTCTTTCTTTTCTTTTTGAATAATTACTTTTATTGAAATATTAAATATATTTGATTATTTTTGGCATAAAATTGAATTAAACAATTATTTAAATTGATAACTTTTAAAATTTCATTTCATTTGAAAATAAAATTAATAATATCAACTTTTTTCCCTTTATTTTCTGGTGAAAAAAATGGATAAATTGATGAATGTATGGTAGAATAGTTGGATAAACTATGACTGTATTTGTAACTTTCCGGTTAGATATGGATTTTACTTTCCGGTTAAACATAAAACTGTATGCATATGATTGCAAATTTTTTAATATTTGAAATTATGATATAATTTTGGATTGGATTGAAAAATAAATGTGTTGTAATTTTACAAACAGATACAAATTATATTATATTTTTCATATTGAATTAATTTATAATTACATGAAAAAATTTGTAAACATTTTATATTATTATTTTAGTCGATTTTTAGAAGTCTAAAAGAATTTATAAATAGTAAATAAATTTACTGAAAATGTGTTAATAATTTTATAGTTTTTGGCAATTTTTTTTTTTTTTTTTGTTTTATTTATTTTTTTATAAATTAATGGTAATTTATTATTGATCATTTAGTAATAGCAATTTTAGTACTATGTTATTGTCTATGTATTTATGAAAGAAATTGTGCATAAACAATGTTATAATGACTAGGTTAGGTCAAAGGTCAACAAGCAAACTTATATTAGCAAGGTTAGGTCGAAGGTCAATAAGTAAACTTTTCCGTTTGTATGTTTTATTATTGGAAATAGCTCAGTCGATATATTCGATGTATCATTAACTGGTAGATAAATTAGTTTGCTAAGTTTATTTAATTTTTTTGTTTAAATTTCATAAAATATTTTTAGTATGAGAATGATTTGAAATTTTTAGATTTGACATTTTTAAATTATTAATTTTTACAATTTTTGCATTTTTTTTCTCAACCAATTGAAATTTTTATTTATCAATTGAAAATTATTAGTGAAATAAATTTTATAAATTGATACAAAAGAAAAAAAAAATTTTTTTTTTTAGTTTAGCAAATATTTTGAATAATTAAATAAAAATTAATAATCAAATTATTTAATTAATTTATTGTTTTTTTTTTTCTTTTTGCTACTTTCTAATTGAAAAATTTTTGAAAATTTTTATTATTTTCTTCCATTTTTTTTTCTCTCAAAAGTTTTATTATTATTTAATTCTTTTGGACTTTGTTGTTTTTGTTTATTTATTTATCTTTTTTTTTTTTGTTTATTATTATATTTTTAATAGCTTTTTTTTTTAGGTTAGCTATTTGCTTTTTTTTTTTAATTATTGCATTTTATTAGCAAATTATTGCATACTATATTCGTTATTAAACAGAAATAATAATTGAAAAATTTCAATAAACTTTTTTTTTTTTTTTTTTTTCAGAATGTTCCGATTTTGGTTTACAATTTTATTTATTCTTTTAACATTTGCTAATTTAATAAGAACATATCGAGTTGAACGTATGATACAGTCAACAGCTATTCGTGGTAAATTTATTTGTGGTCAAAAACCGGCAATTGGCGTACGAATAAAATTATTTGAATTGGATAATAATCTTATAAATCAACCAATTACAACTGATGAATATATGCTAAGTAATTATTTTTTATATTTTAAATTTATATATAAAAAAAAATGAAGTTCTTGAAATGTTATTATTTACATAGAATAAAAGTTAAAAAAAACAAAAAAAAAAAACAAAAAACAAAACAAAAAATAATAATAAAACAAATGAAAAAATTGCTCAAAAAAATTTTGTAAAATTTTTTTTAAATTATAATTTTTTTTTTAATTTTATTGAAATCTTCAGCAATAAATCCAGATGATGTCTTAAATGAAACATATACCGATGAAGATGGACAATTCTTTATACATGGTACAACAGTTGAAGTTAGTCAAATTCAACCAATCTTAAAAGTTTACCACAATTGTCTGCATGATGGATTGGTTAGTGCTATTAAAAAATAACAAAAAAAAAATAAATAAATAAATAAAATGTTTGTCACATAGTCAGAATTTAATAATTAAACATTCTTAATTTAATTACTTGTTAAAATAGATAATTGAATTAATTATGAATTTGTTTTCTAGCATTTTTATTACAGCCTGGATTTCGAAAAATTCATTTCGTGGTACCATATCATTTCACTAATTATGGTATCCATGCTGAAAAAGTTTTAGATTTGGGCATTTTTAATTTGGAAGCAATACTACCTGTGAGTGTGTATTAATTAATTAATTATAATTTCAGATTAATTACATTAAATAATTATAATTTGAATATTTAACAAATGAAATTTGTTAATTTTTGACTAATTCAATATTTATTAGTTTTGATTTGTCGTTGATTTTTGAGGCACTCAAGGTAGTAATTAAAACAAAAAAAAGAAAAGCAATTACTACTATTTGAAAAAAAAATTTAAAGTGATAAAACAAAATTTTGAACAAATTAATGAATTACTACACTTGTATCGAAAATTATTTATCAAAATTATTTACCGTATAAATATTGAAATTATTTAATTTAAGAATTGAAACTTTTCATTGCATTTTCTAATTCAGATACTAATTTCAGGATGAACAACACGAGAGTTACGTATCATAATGTTGATTTATTGCAATCTCATTGTTATTTTGAATTATTTAATAAGACATAATTAAATAAATTTTAAATTTGAATTAAGTTATATTATTTTAACATTTTTGATACTTTTAAAATTCATCAAAAAATGCTGATCAGACTTTTTTGTACTTATTTTTCAGATTATTACTAGGTCAAAGTTCAATTTTTTTCCTTTAAAATCGCAACAACTTTTTGTTTTACACATTTGTTATGTCTATTCTTATCACACTTAAATTTTTTAAAAGAAATAAAATTTTTTACCAATTATTGTCTTTTTCATCTTATTTCATATGTTTTTCTATTCCTATTTATTTTATTATAAAATTTGTTTATCAGTTTTTTTACTTTTTCCTTACTATTTATAAATTTTTTCTTTTTTGAAAAAAAGAAAATTTTATTTTAAATTGCCATTTCTTCGCTTTTTTTGAATAATTTTTGAATGAAAGAAATGGAATAATAATTATTATATTTGATATAAATAATTAATATAAACAAATTTTAGTGGTATTTTTTATGAAAATATTTTAGAGAATTATGCTACAATTATTATTATTACTATTATTTTGGCTATTAGCAAATTTTCAACTATTAGAAAGTCGAATGCAAGCGGTAAAAATTCGAGGAATTTTTCAATGTGGCGCTGAAATTCCACATAATGCAACAATTGAATTATGGGATGAAGATGAACCATTGATAAATTTTGTTCATGAATTTTTCAATCAGAAAAAAGGTAGGAAATTTCCTAAAATTAAAAAAGAAAAAAAAATAATAAAATTTAAAAGATATTTCATTGTATTATTTCAATATAAACTATTGAAGTGAAAAAAAAAATATTTTATTACAATTACATCAATTTAATATCAAATGGAAATGTGACAATTATTTTGGTTAAATGTTATGATAATTTGAAAAAATTTTCAACTTATTTAATGAAAAATTAAATTTGGATGAATGAATTAACAAACAAAATAAAAAAATGCTAATTTGGAAAGATTTTTTTAAAAAATAAGGAAATCCATTTTTAATTTTTAATTTTTTAAATTTATATTTCATTTTTAAATTAATAATTCTTTGATATGATAATTTTAAGGTATTAATCCAGATGATAAACTGTTCACAACACATCCAAATACTGATGGAAGTTTTGAAATTAGTGCTATGCATGAAGAATTAACAAAATTAAGTTTATATATGGTTGTGTATCATCAATGTGAACATTTATTTCATTTCAAATATAATCAATTTAAGGATAGAGAGGTTAGATATTATTTTATTTTTTATAATTTAACAACAAAACTTATTTTATGGTTCTCTCCACTAAACATTTTTATTTATCTTAAATTATCAAATTATTTAAAAAATTCAATATTTAATTCTTTAATTTCAAGTAATTGTTTAGTTATTTATTGATTTTATCTAATTTTTTATTTTTAATTATTTAGTTCTTTATTTTATAACTTGTAATCGCTTTAATTAATTGTTTATTATTTATTGATTTTATCTAATTTCAAAAATGATCAATAAATTGGTAATACAATAATTATGTCATTTAATAATACTTTAAGAAACAGTTAACCAATACAAAATGCATAAATTTTTTTTTCAAATATAAATCGAATTGTTAAAATTGAATTTTAATTATTAATAAAATTTAGTGATAAAGCAATAATAGTTTTTTATTTTTTATTTTATTATTATTTTTTTTTTACTTTTGATTTTTTACAGTTTCAAAGATGGAGACGATTCATATTTCGTATACCAGGACAATACGTAAATGATGGTGAAGAAGCTATAAAAGTCTTCGACCTGGGTACCTGGAATTTACAATTTAAATTTATGGTAATTTGTGGTATTTCAATTTATTTAAATAATTTTACTCAAATTTTGATCATTTTTCCATGGTTCTATGCTAAATTTGTTTATAATTCAAATATAATTTTTTCAAAAATTAATTTAACAGAGTGATACAATCAATTCAAAATCAAATTTGATTTGATTAATAAGTGAGCAGATGAAATAAATGAAATAAAAGTGGTGACAATAAAATAAATGAAGTAAGTGGTGACAATGACATAAATGAAGTAAAAGTGGTGACAGTGAAATAAATGGTGACAATAAGTTAATCAGATAAGATAAAGCTATACAAATGGAAACAATAATCATGACAAAAAAAGTAGTAGATTAAATAGATAATTGATTAGTGATATTAGATAATTGATTACTGATCACGTGTTACGTCACACGTACTCTGTTATGGATCAAGAAAAAAAAATAGAAAAAAAGTATTCTAAAAGTCAATTAAAGATGAAATAATTAGTAATTAATGTGTGTCAAAATAACTTTCAATCTTATAAATTTTACCGTTTTTAAAAGTTTAGGTTAGTTTTTTTGTGAGAGTGTTAATTTAGAAGAAATGTTAAAATTTATTATAATATTATATCAGATAACAAATATCGTTAAATGTATTTTACAGGACGAAGAATTAATTATAAGTTGTGGTGAAACTAATTTTAAACATTGTTTATCCAAGTATCCAGAATATTCACCATATTTAGAACTTTTGTGGAAGAATTTTAATCTTGGAATTTGGTAATGGTAAATTAAAAGTTAAGAATTAAAATGCATAAATTTGAAATGGGATTGGAATTTTCGTTAAACTAATATTTAAGTATTATTGTTTTTATTACTCAATGTCATTATTTCTTTAATAATTGTTTATTTTTAATGAATAATAAATAACTAAAGTACTGAAAATATTGGAAAGTTATGGGAATTTTTTTGCTAATAATATTAGCTATATTTGATTGTTTTTTCTTTTTATTTATATTTAAGAGAAGTCGATTTTACCATATAAAATCGAAAATGAATTATTTGAAAAGTTGGAAAAATAAAGTTATGCATGTTATTATGATGCTTATTTTATGTTAAATTGTTAAAGTTGAAGTAAAACTAAATTAAAGAAAAAAAAAAGAAAAAGAAAAAATTAGTTTTAAAATGTTGCATTGTTACTTATTTAATTCATTCCTTATTTTTTTGTAATAATCAATGAGTAATTTTCAATTGATTTGAATTTTTCACTTTGTTACTAATATTTTAGCATGTGATTTGCATATTAATTAATAATCATAAATGTTTAACTTAATTTTCAAAATGTTTCATATTGTTTGCTGAGGACTTAAGGAATTTGTCAAAGTAATTTTTATGGTTGTAATTTTGGAATGGAATTGGTATAGATAGATGTGTAATAATAATAATAATAATAAATAAATAAATAAATAAATAATGGCAATAATGGCAATAATAAGAATAATATTTAAAATTATAATAAAAATAAATATATTATAATAGTAATGAGTTTGAAACTGCTTAAAAATGAAATATTATATTTAAGTTATATTCCAGAAAAAAATAAATAAAAATTTGTATTGCTAAGCCAAATTTGAAGTAACAGTAATTTTTACTTTAATATACTAACAATTTCAATGTGTTTCGCTTAGTTTTGTTTCAAATAAATAATGCAGTTGAAATTAGAATATATAATCAATTGTTATTGTGAACTTTCTTTTATTATTAATTGTTTCAAATTTCTCGATGTATTATATTGTAAAATTTTAATAACACTTTATATCAGAGTGGTTTTAATTTCAGTAATTTTATTAATTATTAATATAATCAGTTGATTGCCATTTTTACTAACTAATTTTCTTCGCATCGATCATTTTATCAATTTATCAAATTATCACTTTTCTTTATTTGCTATCAGCTAATCATAACTACCATATCAGTATTATCATATCTACATTAAAAGTAATACTAACTTCACGCTGCTATTACATTTTATTTTAATCGCTTATGATTGCATTTAAATATTTAATTTTAAGAATATTCAAATTTGCTAAGTTAAATTTGATAATTGAATTTTGTATAATTCACAATTTATCAAACAAATAATTTTTCTATTAGTTATCAAATCTTTGATTAATTAATTAATCAGATCTATTTTAGCAATGAATATAATTACATTATCCACCTTACTCTTAGCTTTAATTAGCAATACCGATGGTTTCATAAAGCGAAATCACTCATTTGCAATTCAAGGAAAATTTATGTGTGGTGAATACCCATTACATCGGGCAGCAATTGAACTGTGGGAAGATAATCGATCACTGTTAAAATCAATTGTATATATTTTAAGGCAAAAAAGAGGTAACAAAGTTTGTTTACTTTTTACAAATATTATATTTTACTTTTTAATAAAGCAATGAAATTGCTAATTCAAATTATTATTTTAGTGCAAAAAAAAAAAAGAGTAAAGTAAAGTAAAAGATTACTTTATTTGCTATTTGATAAAACAACAAACTTTTATTGTTTTTTTTAATTACTATTATAAATGATAAAGGACCAAATGATGTATATATTGCACGAACAAATACAAATGAATATGGTGAATTTGCAATAAATGGAAGTTATCGAAGTGAATATCAGGTGAATCCATATATTTATGTTTATCATCGATGTGATGCTGATAAATTACCTATCAGTAAGTCTCGACCAACGGTAAGAAAATTTCTCACTTTCTGATACAAATAGTTTCATAGTTTTCATAATTAAAAGTACAAACATTATTTTATAAAATATTATCATTAATTTTTTCAGTTTATATACTAAAATTAAAATTGAAAAAATAAGGAAAGTTGAAAAATTAAATTCAAACTTTTCCTATCTTTATAAGATCTACAAATATTTGTTAAAATAATCAAAATTATTACCTTTCAGTTCAAATTATGGCGTACATTTGTAATAAAAGTACCAGGAAAATACATAAGTAAAGGGAACTATGCATTGCAATTATTTGATTTAGGTGTTTACAATTTACAATTTCAATTTGCAGTAAGTTTTTTTTTTCCTTTTATCAATTTATGATAAAATCGTAGAAAGAAGAAAATTATAATGAAGTTATAAAATCAGCGAAAAAAAAAGAAAACAATTTTTTAAAATCATATAATTTTGAATTAAAATGTATATAATTGTTTGTCTAACAATAATATTTAAAGTTTATTCAGAGACTAAATATTACTTTTTTATTTTATTTAATTGATATAATTTTTTCTTTCGTACATTTCCATTTAATTAAAATCTTTTTAAGCACTCTAACAAATATTTTAGAATCATAGTGCAATAAAGTAATTTCTTGAAATTTCTTCTCATTCTTGCAACAAATTAGATCTAAAAAAAAAATAATTTGATTATATCTGAATGTGAATGATAGTCAATTTTAGCATGAAATATTGATGAATGATAATTAATTTTAGGATGAAATATTGATGAATAATAATTAATTTTAGGATGAAATATTATTGGAAAATTGTAATATGCGTAATGAGTTATACTATAGACGATGTGCTTACAGTATGCCATCACCGTTTCTATCTCGACTTACACATTCTGTTTTCTTCATTCATTAAGTTAATGATTTCAAATAATTTCAATTCCAGTCAAGAGAATTATCACTTTTCTTTTTTACAAATGTGTTTACACAATATATTACAATTTATTCTTTTCATTACAATTTATTCTTTTCTGATAAATATTTAAAAAAGAACATTAATAAATATTTTTTAGAAAAAGCATAGATAAACTGTTAAAGTGTTTTGTTTCCTTTTTAAAGGTCAAATAAAAAATGGTCGAATTGAATTCATTTCGCATTCTATCTTCCCACATTCGTTTCAGTTCGTTTCAATGTATTGTTCCGGACTAAAATACATTACCTTCTTTAGTAGTGATATCTATCAGGATGCCATAAATGAGCCAAAAAGAAATTATTTGGAATGTTAAAATTTCACATTCACTTAAAATCTATCATTACGATGAAAATAATCACTTATATATATATTTACCTTATCAGTAGTAGCCTCAGGGTACCACTCATAAACCTGAAATAAACCATTTAGAGTATAAAAATTTTACAATTAAATCTATCATTACGATGAAAATAATCACTTATATATATATTTACCTTATCAGTAGTAGCCTCAGGGTACCACTCATAAACCTGAAATAAACCATTTAGAGTATAAAAATTTTACAATTACTTAAATCTATTATTGCGGACAAAATGGTCATTAAAATTAATAACCTTGGTTGAATCAGGAAACTACTTGATACTTTTAAAGAAATCATTGAAAAAAAAAAGAAAAGTGTTAACAGTAGTGTTACATAAGAAGTGTTTATGCTATTAGTTGATCAAGAAGCAATCAAAATATGATATGTTTTCTTAAATTACTGTGAAATTGTTAACTTTAACTGAGAATCACTTTCCGGAATGTATGATACTTTCACTTTGATTAAATTTATCAGTACATTTTCAATGTATTACCTGTGTTGAAAAATCGTAACTGTCGTCCTGAGAATCACTTTCCGGAATGAGTGAAGATAAAGTACTATCGTCCTGAGAATCACTTTCCGGAATGAGTGAAGGGAAAGTAGTACCGTCCTGAGAATCACTTTCCGGAATGAGTGAAGGGAAAGTACTTTAAAAGAAATAATTTCGAGCATTGCTAATATGCTAATAACATCAAAACTACTAATTTTATTCAATGATTAAAAGTGGTACGATTCCTTTTCATTAACTAATTATGGATAATAAACTGATCTGAGAATTATATGGCGCAATTGTCGCTTATATTATATTATGATTTAAATGACAAATGAGCAGGATGGTACTTCTCTATGCTGTAACTGTTTTTGGTAGTTAAGCAGAAGTGAAATGTACCGAAATATAGCTTGGAGTTTCCTTATTTTCTGCGAATGACATCGCAAACCAAAATTGAAGCATTAGCAAAATCTTCCCCCAATGTGCCATTTGATGTGTTATTCTCTAGATGAAACTACAATTTTTAATTTCTATTTTATTTGTAAAATAGATTGAGTAAAATTTTATCTGACAATGAGTTTGACAATTAATCGAAAATTAATGAAAGTAAGAATAATAAAAAGGTAAAACCTATAACAATTTTACAACGGTTGAAAAAACGAATGAAAATGAAATGAAATGAAGTGAAATGAAATGCAATATGTAATAAGTAGACATAACCAACAAATTTTTTGGTATATGAAAAAGATAAAATTAATATAATAATTAATTTGCTTTTTATGAAAAATTCTAAATATGACAGAAATTTGATATATAATTTGGTTTTGACATAAAATACAAAAATAAATTAGAATTTATAACATTATACAGTATCTATCATTAACTAATTTAATACAGAAATTTAAATTCATGTGAAAAAAAAAAAAATGAGTTGCAGACAAGAAAAGAATGAAATGATAGTTAGAAGAGGAGCTATTTATAGGAATTTACATAGTACTCATTAATTGATCTTTGATTACTATCAACAAGTGGATCATACTGTTTTGATTACGATTGTTTATCATTACTTTACTGTAGATGATTATCATGGCACGTCATGTCTCTCTAATTTTATTATGCAATGATTGTTATACTTCAACAACACAACCAATGCTTATCACTTTTTTAATCATGTAGTTAATTAATTAATCACAGTTGTTATGATTAGAAATATATTTCTGCTTTTAATTGATTATTGTATAAATTACTGTTGGATAAGATGAAACTGTAGTAAATTACACTATCTTTTAATCTGCTCGAATGTTATATAATTATTTATTTGCATGTGATGATTATTGTATTTCGGTAAAGTTTTTTCATTTTATTTAATTTTATTTTATAAATGATTGTAGAATATATTAGTAATATATAAAATATATTAGTAGTATATGATGATTGCGTTAGTTTTTAATCTGCTCGAATATTAGGTAATTATTTATTTGTATATGATGATTATTGTGTTATTATTTATTTTTATATGATGATTATTGTGTTATTATTATTTCATCCAAATACTTTTTTATTTGTCCGCAATGATAGCTATGTAATTATTAATTTTATATTTACTGAAATATATAACAAATAATAAAATTAAAATTTGTAGTGCTAAATAGTTTCTTTCTTCTTTGTGTAATATTCAAAGTTAGCTTTAAAAATTTGTTGTAAAGTTGATTGAATTCTTTAGTTTTTTAACTAATCTTAATCACTTAACACCAAATATGTTTAGGAATTACGAAGTGCCACAAAAGCCATAAAAATTCCTTATCATGAATGGTAAACGCTAATTCAGATCACGTAAAATTATGATGTATAAAAAATGGGCGTTATTTTAAAAAAAAGCTTTTTGTCACCGATGTTGATTCAAATTTTCAGTGGATGAGCAGAAATTGTATCAAAAATTTTCATAAATTGGAGTTTTATTTTCATATAATCTGCTAATCACTTTATTTATAAAAAAGAGGCCATGTGACATTATAAAAACATTTGTGTCATTGTTGAGAATTGAATAGTCAAAAAAATAATACTATCATTCAAATTTCTCGGGATACAAACAACAATTTAGCAAATGGTTGTAGTAGTTTAAAGTATCAAATGATATGTTTGACAATATTTTTGAGAATCGAGGATTAAAAAATTTGCGACCAGAAAATCAAAAACATGAAGCATGTGTTATCTGAAAACATTTTAATTGTTATTACTAGTCTTTAATTAAGCTAAACCATTTTGAAAAATAAATTTCATACATACATTTGCAGCACCAAATTTTGATATATTAATTAAATAAAAACTAAATTAATAAAAGGCTAAAAAATGTCACTAATATCGTCATCAAATTTATTCATAGGATCAAATGAAGTGATATTTTCGGAACTCAATTTGCTAATTATAAATTCACTTCAACTAGTTCGACTGATACAGAAACAATCAAACAAATGAGAGATGTAAACGGAAAATAAATTGAAAAGAAGCTAGTTAATGAAATGATTGAAAATTCACTATCCTATTATAATGAATCTTCCTAATGCGTTCGTTCAGTAGCGCACTTTTTGATTTTAATTATTAATTCAATTGTTTGTGTTAAATTTGAATCCATTTCTTTATGTGATCCGTTACTTGTGATTTTCACTCAGACCGATGAATTAGTATTCTTCGTACTCTCGAAGTGACAGACATTGACGATCGATTCAGACCAAAAGTGCTAAATTATTGAAATACTAAATTTCTGAAAAAAAAAAAAATAACAACAAATTATACACTTTTTTTTGTAAGTTTATAATTTGTTATCTTTTCAAATATTTTCAAATTTGACTCGAAATTTGATGAATCCTTAATTGTTATTGAAAGAATACTTAAATTAAAGTAAGCTTAACATAAGCTTAATAGCGTGAAATGCCTGAAAAATGAATAAGGTTATACATATATATATTCACTTTCTTATGTAATTGTGAATAAAATTAAGTACTCAATCGTAAATTTTTAATGCACACACAATTTATGTAATTAACAAATATTTCTCAAATAATTAGCTGTTAACCATAAAGACAGCCAATAGCGTTACATTGTCATTTCAATGATACAAAAACTTTGAAATTACCTATAAAATCTGCTAGTACAGCAAATTTTTTTTTTTTTTCTTCCATATATTTCAGCAATGTGATATGAAAGCAAACAATTGCTGATTCTTCTTGATGAGCACAGTCTGAAAGTTTTTAGTTTTATTAATAGCTGATGAATACTTTCTGTCAGTTTTAAGTGTGAAGTATTAATATATCTCAAATAATGGTCAAAATGATTTCTTTCAAGCAATAATTCCTATCTCTTAAATAACTTATAGATAAGTGATCTATCATTTATGGTTCGATATATTACTTTTTCATCTTTGAGCACTTTGAGTTACGATTACGCCACCATTTTGCTGCAGTCAGACGGGTTCTGAAAATCTAATTTTATCAAAGTAGAATTCATACTGAATTTTTTGTTCCTTTTCTTTTCTGAATGCTTTGTTAATATCTGACAATAATTTTCAGCGATCAAATCTATCGATTTTTAGTATTATACCAGAAGATTCCTTGGTGAAATGCAAAATAAAATGGAGTGCGAGATTATGTGACAGTACTATTTTGTTCAAACTTGAGCATATCCTTAATTTAACCTTTAAACTACCAAACTGTGATGCTTTATTCATAAATTTTTGCATTGGTATTGTTGCAATGCATCATTAAATACTCTGAAATATTCTAAAAAAATCTAATGCTAATCGAAGTAACCGATACTTTTCCATTTCCTTGCTACTACAATAAGTTTCAGTTGGATTTAAAACGACTAGCAAAACCTACTTGCTTAATATAGCATACTTTACAACTGAGATTAACTTATCCTTTACTTATCCACTACAATGCTATGTATATTTCGATATTCTGCAATGTATAATCAAAGTGAAAATTTTTACTATTAAACTGTTTCATCTCTTTGTTATATAATTAAATTCGAGGAAAGATTTAGTATTTGTTGGTGTGACAACTTCACAACGTTGACAATAGCTTCATTGTTCTTACACGATGTCACATAATATGGCACTCACACGATAATAGAAAGAAATGAATACCAAATTATACCGAGCAGTTCACTAAATCTTGTCACACTTTCTTGCCATTTATCGTTGTTCTTGCTGCTTCTGTACCACTTTGAGAGAGTGTTGAGAGGGAGGGAGTAGGAGCTTCTTTATTGATTGAACAATGGGTCTTACTCCTTGTATAGTTCATTTTGGCTTATAACAAAATTACAGTACTTTGAGGAAAAGAGTAAGGAGTTATCATTTATCGATAATTACTAACATATGTAATTGCATTTGATTCATAAAATTACGTTAATTACTTATAAAAGAGTAATTGTTAAACTGGAAGACATTTAAATATATGTATTTCAATGTTGCAATTGGGACTGGTTAATAATAATAAAAATTTAACTGAACAAAAACTTTACAACTTCTTAGCTATTGAATGTTAATTGTCAGACTAAAAGATTTGAACAGTAAAATTGAGAGAAAATTACAACATATTAAGCAAAGCACATCTGTTGTTAACAGATTGTAACATTCTAAACAATGCATAATTCAGTTAGAACTAAAAAAGTGGATGTTAGATCACTTGAAATTTGATATGAAACAAGTTTGTATTTGTCTAAGGAATAAGACAGTTTTTTAAATAAAACAATTTTTAGTATACTTTTCTGAGATGAGACTTTTTCTTGAATGAGAATACCTTCTCTTGGATGAGAAAGAAAAACAGTTGCCCCAGGACTAATAAGTTCATCCTGCCCATGCATATTTATTTAACCCTTCAGCTCAAATTTCCCAGCATAATGGGTTAATCGAGAGAATAACATATAACTAAGAATTTTTCAATAACTTTAAATTACTTTTTCTATGCAAATAATTGCTGGGAAACTTATTTGACCCTGTAATTTTACCGTGAATAAAAAAATTTCTAATGCAGGTGAAAAATTTTTTAAGAATGCATAAATAAGTCTATAAATGATTGCATATTAATGAATAAAACTGATTAGAAATTCATAAGTTTCTAAATGGAAATAATCTGAATTGATCGTTATGAAAATGTACAAAATTCCAACATTCTTCGCTAGCAAAATTTCCTGTTACTTTTTATTTTCTGTATTTTCTTTTTGATCTTTTTCATTCTTCTAAGTTTTCCATTTCCATTACCAGCACTTTGCTTTCCTTTCCTTCTCTTGCATGCAGTTATGAATAAAAATAAAATCAACATCAACCTTATAACAGCAAATATTTTGTAAATAATTGATTTCAGAATGTCAAATATTATGAACTTTATTTTATTGTTTTACATGCAAAATGAATAATATATAATCCTGATGAAATGGAAGTGGAATTTTCATACACCAAAAAGATTTTTTATAAAGCACTAAAGAATCATTTATAACTTTTTCGGCTTTTTGATAAATGCCTGATATCTGTAATGTTCACTAACATCATTCCATACTTTTAGTATTTTTCTAGATTTGTCAGAATTTTGCTTGCTTACTTGATGAAGCCTTTTAGTGGTTGGTTTGGCTGATGCAAACAAATAGTCAATTTTTGCTCGATGTTATGAAGAGTATTAATTAAATAGTATCAAATTATATTACAGATAGTTCACAGTAGAAAAATTTCCGTTACCTTTGGTAGTGGTCATAGGTCAAGAATTATTTCAGTGTGGTGGGAATGCTATGATGAATCGATTCGAAGCTTTTGCTATTGCTAAGGAAAAAGCTGAACAGAGTTAAGTAGTCAGCATTGATTTCCAACAAGAGAATTTTAGATGAATAGACAGATTTTTAAACAATGTTTCCCCTTTTTTTTTTTTTGATGTTCCTAATATCATTCTCGACATTTTTATAGCACTTTGTCAATACAAATAAAATTAATTGTAATTTAGAAGTGTTTAATAATTATTTTTATTCATTAAATGAACAGTTGCTGAAATTATGAATATTTAATAAAAAAATTTTTAACCTATAGATTTCTATTTTATAGATTTAAACAAATTGTTTCAGCATACGGTGAATCTTATGTGCATTACTAAATACTATCAACTATTCCGCTAAAAATGAATCAATCGTCTTTACAATGATAATTTTCAATCGTTTCTCATCTATCATTATTCCATAACTTTCAGGAACTATTATTTCAATTGAATTCGATATCCAAATAACATATTATCTAAGCATGTACTACTACTATTAATGGCTTGTTTAACAATCGACCATTTCTAAATATCATCAAAGATTTGACTAAATATGAAAAATGATCAAATGTAAGGCAATTCATCGCTTCAGTTATCTGAGATAAACTAATGAAGTAATTTCTTCTTCTGATTAACAATTTATGATATTACCTATGACTGAAATTTTCATATAACAAACCTTTAATCATTAACGATCAAACATTTATTAATTTTTTAAAGCCGATTTAGTATTTTATGTCTTTAAGGAAGGCCTATCTAATGCGCTTCCACAAAGAATATTACGAACAGTTAGTTATAACATACCAATTATTCGAAGCAAACAAATTTTACGCTAAATATTAATCATTTATTTAACCTTTTTCTTTTCCATTAAATCTTATAACAAAAGTGATAGTCATATGTTTACAACTGATAATTACATGTAAGTATCAGTTAGAAAATTTTAGGAATCATTCAAAATTAGAAAAAATTTTTTTTACTGCTCCATTTTTTCTTTTTCGCTCTTAGCCATGCTTATTACGTGAAGTAAACTACTGTGCAAATGTTGGCCAAATGAGACAACATTAAATATGATATCGAACATAACGACAAATGAAATAAAATAAAAGAATGACGCAATGTAAAACAAACAAAATTTAATATTATACAAAATTAAAAAGCATAAATATAAATAGTATTAAGTAAAATTTAAGATATAAACTAACAAAAAATAATATTAAGTAAGATATAAACTAACAAAAAATAGTATTAAGTAAAATTTAAGAATAAACTAACAAAAAATAGTATTAAGTAAAATTTAAGAATAAACTAACAAAAAATAGTATTAAGTAAAATTTAAGATATAAACTAACAAAAAATAATATTAAGTAAGATATAAACTAACAAAAAATAGTATTAAGTAAAATTTAAGAATAAACTAACAAAAAATAGTATTAAGTAAAATTTAAGAATAAACTAACAAAAAATAGTATTAAGTAAAATTTAAGAATAAACTAACAAAAAATAGTATTAAGTAAAATTTAAGAATAAACTAACAAAAAATAGTATTAAGTAAAATTTAAGATATAAACTAAGTCATCATAACACGCATAAAATACTAACAACTAAACAATAAAATCAAAGTTCATAGCAGCTCATTACTATAATTCTTTGACCATAACCGCAATTTATTTCAGCCTTATAGGCCGATTGATATTCCACGGTTAGGACGTCAATTTATTTGCATTTCTTTGATATGATTGATTAATTGATGAGTTCGTTAAGGTTAGTCTAATTCAATTCATTATTCATTCATTCTGTCATTTGTTTGTTTGTTTATTTATTCGTTTAATGTATTTTTGCTAATGTTTCGCAATTTTTGTTGACAATTTGACTGACATTTCAGGATTATTTCTTCGCTGAGATTATATTGTACTTTTCCGTGCAAATATGGTGGTAAGTATTATGGACTTTTTTTCCTGCAATTTAATCTCTCTCTCTCTTTCTCTCCCCCTCTCCCTCTCGTGCACATTAAGAGGTTATTACTGATTTTTCTGGTTTGTTGCTTTTTTTTTTCATCATTAAAAAGAAGAGGCGAAAAAAAAGTACTATGGGTGTGAAAGAAAAAAAAATCCATTACTATGACTATGATTTCCTTCCACTCCCAAAAGCAAAAACTTTTTTGTGTGAATTTAGCATTTTTAGGCTTAAAAGCACTTCGTAATTTAGAAATGCTTCAGGTGATTAAGATTGATATTTTGTTAATTTTAGTTACCACTGTCACTTTTGCGTACAGCGCAGAATCATCCGATGTTAGTTGAATTGAAAAATGGTGAGACTTATAATGGACACTTGGTTGCATGCGATGCGTGGATGAATATCCATTTAAGGGATGCTATCTGTACATCACGTGTCAGTTATTTTTTTATACGTTATCAACTAATTTTAAGTAGAATTTGGTTAATCATTAAAATTCAGCCCTGTTCATTTAAAGATTTTGTTTTCTCTCACTAAGATCAAGTTAAACAGATTTTTATATAATATGGTTAATGTGGTTTGTGTCTCTTTACCGATCTTATGGAAAAATGAGATGAAGTGCCACTTTCTTTAGGGATGTATTTATCGTAAATTAGCAAAGTCAGAATTGCAAGCTGTTAGAAGTTGAAAGGTAATAAAGAGAGTATGAAATAAATTTTAACTGATGTAATTTCAGTTTAACAGTTTGCTTATTTCCTCTCTTCTGAATCTGTTAGATGGTTGCTGAATTGTTTTTAACTGAAGGTTTTATTAGGATGGTGATCGCTTCCTGAAAATGCAAGAAGTGTATGTAAGAGGTTCAACGATCAAATATTTACGGATTCCAGACGATGTGGTAGAATTGGTGAAGGAAGAGGTAAGTAACGTTCTGAATTCTGTGTTGTTTTGGAAGCTGTTGTTATATTTTTTTTTCAGAATCCGGAGGTTCATAATCATTCGTTTCAGAAGTGTACGTCCGGAAGTTACATTTCGACTTCCACTTTCAACTTTCCTGTTTGATGAGCTAACACTTAGTCGGGAATTCTAATTTCAGGTTAAGGAGGTACGTAGACAGCAGAAAGATCAGCAACGTGCCAAACGTAATTTGCAAGGAGTTCGAGGTGGCGGACAACAAGGTCGAGGAGGAGTTTCTGGTGCTCGTGGACGCGGTGGAGGTCAGCATGGATGGAAAGCGGTTCAGTGAAACTGAGACTATTTATTTATAAATTATTTTCTTTTCGTTTATATGATGAAACTATGAAGCATTGTTGACATTTTGGAAATCGTCGCTGTTTGATATCATTGATAAATTTCACTTTGAAATGAAGTATCATGGACGTTGAATACGCAGTATTTTGGATGAGATTCTTCACGGCTTATTTTTTGTTTTAAAACAGTTGTAGAACGATTTCTGAATAAATGCTTCTCAGGTTTTTTTTGTTTGAGAATTTTATTGCTTTGCACGGATTGCTATCCGGTAGAAAATTGTTAGTGCTTCTATTTTTTTTTTTCACATTACTAATGGAAAAGGAAAGTAATGGGTAAGTTTGCTTGTTGTTTTGTTACAAAACTATTTTTAATATTGCTCAAGCAGAGATTAGAAAAAAGTAGATGCGTACATTTTCCATAAGATATAATTTCAAACCATTCATCATACCATTGGCTTCTTGATTTCTTGCTATTTGCAAAACTAATAGTATACGACGTTATTCTTTTATAACTCTTTTGAAAATCAGTCAGTTTATTTAACATGTAAAGTGGAATCAAGCAGTGTTCCGGATAATACATTTTACTGCATCAGGTTTTCGTAATTCGATTGATATATATATGTGCATCTTCACTGATATCTTGTGTACTTTACCAGTTAGTTACGTTTTCTTAACTTGGCATTTGCAATACAATGATATACTTATCAGCAATTGCATTGTAATACTTAACATGTATTTGAGTAGGTATTTTTATTTGAAGTTGAAATGGCAACAAAAAGGAAAATGATGCCACCGTTAGCAGTTTCACTGTATCATGATTTGGATATTGGTTCGACTGTTACCGGCAAATCAGAAAATTCCACAGATGCAAATAATGTCGATGTGGATTCCAGTTGTAGCACGCAGAAAAGATCCCGAGACGAGAGTGCAACTTCCGAAGGGTCAAGCAAGACTGGTGAAGATGACGGTGCTGGTAGGTGGACGATTGCTTCATTCTCTTAAAAGGCGTGTCTTTGATTGTCCATTCCTGAATGCCTTCAGTTCTTATGTATTACACACCCTTTTCGAAAAGGCATTACTTTCTGCTCTACATTTGGAAGGATTTAGTTTAATTTGTTTTTTTTTTTCTTTTTTTTTTTCTTTTTGGCTTTGAAATTATTCCAGGTGGTTGTGGGGAATTACAGACATACTATGAAATCCTTATTCAAAAAAAAAAAAAAAAAAAAAAAAAAAAAAGAAAACAAAAAAAAAAAAAGTTAAATGAAATTTGGTTGCAGTTGGTAAACTGGTAAGCGTATGTGGTTGGCGGAAAGGTGAACGTCAAGATATGCAAGATGCGCATGTTCGATTGGATCAGTTTGGACTTACGGCCATCTGTAACATGTAATTACAACAAACACAGTGAAAAACAAAATGTCTTTTAACATTATGGATTAGTTTTATTCAGTTCATACTTTTTTAGTCAACGAAGTGCTTTTTATGCGATTTTTGATGGTCATGCTGGACGTCGAGCTGCAGATTTTGCTGCTGAACGTTTACCATCTAAGCTGAAGAGAAAATTGGAAGCATGTAAGTTTTTATCTTTGAATGATTACAGTTATTTCTACTTGTTATAGATGTGAACGAAATTAGATGTAAACCGCCAATTTAAAGCGCTCGAGATCAAAATAAATTATTAATCATAAAAGAGATGAGGTTAAAATTGTCCAGGAATAGAAGAAATCATATTTCATTCATAACTGTCGTGATTTTCGTGCGAGAAAGTCAACAGAGCTTTTATTTTCCCAATACTTTATATTTTACAAACAAAAAAACATGAGAAACGATTGTTTTGTATACTAATAAACATTTATGTGAATCGAGATATCGAATTAAATATAGTCAAGTATATTTGCAAGTTTCGCATGAGTATGAGTCATAATATTAATAGTAATTCCAGGTTCTGATTTCGTTTCTTTGGAAAAAGGAATAAAGAAATGCTTCATTGATACGTATAAACAAATTGATGAACAATTTCTGGTTGAAGCTCGTCGAACGTTAGTTCTTGTTATGCTTTAACTGTAATTTTTATGCATTGTGTTTCTATTTTTCCTTTCTTTGTTCCAAAACTTTATTGCACTAAAGGAGGCCTTCATGGAAAGATGGCACAACAGCGACAACAATTCTGCTCATTAACAATATTATTTATTGTGCGAATATCGGCGACTCAAAGGTCAGTTTAAAAATTATTTAACTTGAGCTTAATATTTCAAAGTAATTGTTGCATTATTATGAAGCAAGAGAAAAAATTTTTTTTTAAATTGGAATAGAGACATAAATCTTTGTGTAACTAACTATCTTCATAATCTAGCATAACTTTAAGGCAATTTCCATGAGTTCAATTTTGGACTAAATCATATGGGTTGATCGTCATATTATACTTTACAGGCAGTAGTTTGTCGTAGTAAGCCAGGAACTGAAGAAGCAAAAGATGTTGCGATGCAGTTAACAGTAGATCACTCACCGTTGCATTTCGAAGAACGAATGCGAATTCAAAAGGCTGGTGGTAATGTTAAGTAAGTTTACTGACATATCTATTTGAGTATTTTGAAATTTTGTTAACAGATTTCATTTTTATGTATTTCGTTATTTTAAAATGAAATATTTGAGGGATGGTCGCATAATGGGCATTTTGGAAGTTTCTCGATCGATTGGGGATGGTCAATTCAAGGCATATGGACTCATTTGTACACCTGATGTTAAGAAATTTTCTATCACAAAGGATGACATGTTGGTCCTTTCTTTTTGTTTTATTCAACCTAATCGATATTTGAATCATGACAGATCGAAGCGTTAATTATTTAAGCATTAACATGAACTTATGTACTATATTCGATAGCTCTATCGTTTTTATTGAATTTTGATGAGTTCTTAGCATTTTCTATAATAGCCCACAGAATTGCAAATTTCTTTAAGGATAAACTGTTTTAGATTTGTCCTTATTGCGTGTGATGGTTTGTGGAAAACGTTCAGCAATCAACAGGCAGTGGATTTTGTTATGGCAAAAATTAGGCAACTAACAAAGGTTTGGATATTTAGGAAAATTTGACATCTGTTTTGGAAAATTTGAAATTTTTTTTTTTTCTTCTTTGTAGCCTAATGTTGAGCAAGAACCAGAAACACGTGAAATGATTTGGCAAAATGTTGCGGATGATTTGGCTGCAGAATCAGTAAAACGAGGTTGTGGTGATAATGTTTCCGTTATTATTGTGGTACTTAATGATTCGCAAGATTATTTAAGTGTAAAGTAAATTGTTTCTTGAGGTTTTTGTGTATCGTAAGTGAAGAGTATAAGTTGAAGTAACTGTAATAACTCCAAAGAATTGTGTGAAAAACATTTCAAGGATTTGTTTTATGATGTGTTTTGATCTAAAATTATTCATATTACTGCAGCAGAAAATGTTCTTGCTTCAAACATAGTTTCTCTTTATTTTGGTTTATTTTGATCACGTACGCTGAGTATTTTGATCACGTACGCTGAATTTATCTCGACATAGTAATGTGCAATGTATTTCTTATAAAATTGCTAATTAACCACTAATAACACATAGAGGATGTAAAAGAAAGTTGTCGATAAGTTGTGCGTTTATTTTGAAAAAAAAAAAAAAAGAATGCTTCCATTATGAAGTGATATTATATATATTTAAATATGAATTTACTTGTCTTTATGTTAATTTAAAGGTATGAATAATTTTCTTCCGTAATGAATATTTTTCCTTTCTAAATTAATTGCTTTCAGTCATTTGTATGTTCATGTTTTGGTTTAAATCATTTTCATGCTCGCTTTCGTACTTTTTTTTTTTCGTTTACTATGTAGTTATTCAGATTAAATGACGACTTTTTACAAGTTTGTTGTTTCTTGCATTTCAGAATTAGCAAAATTTAATCAAAATAGATCTTGTTTGTTTCTATCTCTTTTTGTCAGATTGAAGTAAAAATTACTGGTTATCTTGTAAATTTCTATTGATCGATCCTCACCAAAAAAAGAAAAATTGTTTTGTACGATTAATTTCAAATGTGTCGATGTAGTGTCAATTATCAAGGTGGGTTTATTTTAATAAATTAACTTGTAGTATGGTAGCTTCATTGCACTGAACCTTAAATAACAAGGATTATTTATTGTCAATTGTTATTTTTGAAGTCGAGACTTGGGTAGGTATTGAGATGCAACATTAGCACGTTGGTCAGGTTATTGTTTATAATAGCTAGCAAGAGAACTATAAAGTAGCATTTGTTGCATTAATTTTCTTTTTTTTTTTTTTTTTTTTTCATTTTTTTGAGCACATTGAAGAATTATCTGAGGAAAATTTATTAACAATGTAATAATATATGCACTGTTTGAACTTTCACATTAAATCATACAAAAATATCATGATTGATAGCCGATATGATAACAAGTTTGAAAATAACAAACTGATTGATGAAATTATCGTCGAAGTATAAAATAAAGTATAAAATAAACAATTAACCCTATAATCCTTTACATTTCAATGTTAACGTTAATGATCACTGAACTTGGTAGACTAACATAAATTTTGCTTCGATGATATAAAAATGATAATATTTTAGCTGTAATATGGATCTTTGTGTAAGAAATGGTTATTTTGAGGAAATTGGACGAGAGATATTTCAAAATTCTTTTCATATCTAATTTCAAAGTTTACCTTTCCTATTTACGATTTCAAATAGTTTAGTGAAATTAATGAAATGAATGTCACAGAGTCGTTTTTTATTCTGTTTCATATACTTCTGTTGTAGTTGTCTGATAACAAGCTATCAGTGCTTCTTATTGACTCTGAAATTAGAATAATTTCCAGGTGAAACTTCTACTATTTTGTTCAAAAATATTTGTGCAAGATTTTTTTTATGATAATCAGACAATAGACCTATCACTGATAATTTTTTTCGTTTCTTCGTTATCATGATTAAACTAAATTACAGATTCATGTTGTTTTCA